AGTTATCGTTATCCCTATCGTCGAACGTAAAACATTTCAAATGACTCCAAGTGATGGCGTATATGGCGTACATCACAACGAAATGATTGACACTGAGGATCTCATTGCAGCCACTCTATCGAGGTGACATATTCTCGAGGTGTATTTGAGAAATTTCTGAATGGTCCAAAAGTTTTCGAAGTAGAAAACGGAGTGGTAGTGACCTCAACTCAAAGCAGGAGGTCCAGGGATCGACTCCATCTTACTTTTATTCCTTCCAGAAATATAGCTAGAAAGATGTTTAAGGTGTTTCTCCGAAAGCACGGACTCAGATTGGAGTCAATCCTACGACCTTATTGCCAGTGGGGCAGCTTCACTACCGCTACGCTTCCCCGCTTCGTCACTTCTTGCAGGAAATTGTTCCTCAGGTAACGAGAACAGACTCAAACTCAGCGTTTCAAGGCACCTCAATATTATGCATATTTTAGATGGCCAGACTAACCAATTTACCATTCTATGTGAGCACGCACAGCCGAAGCAAGCGATCATAATCTCCACGACAGTGATTCACGTGACATGTGAAAATAATGAATGGAGTTTCGTGGGACTCTTGACAGATGTGTGGAGCTCATACTGGTTCTGCAATGTTTTACGCGATACCTGACCTACGCGTTACTCATAAGGGATGGACCAGCGTCACCGAGAATCATGGAAATTGTAAAGAGGAGAAATGAGCAGCTCTAACTGGCATTCCAAATGCCGATTTCAACGTAAACAAGGGATATCAGTAGTTAGAACGAACCTGACCGAATGCAGTCGTACAGCGTTGCGCCCAATTTCGTTTTCTTATACTTCAACTCATCAACAACATCTCTGGTTAGATGCTTAAAATAGACGAAATGTGACGAAACTGCGTAGAAATGGAGGTAGTGTGCGTTACCTTCTTCAATAGTGACTTGCATTTTTCTCCCTCGGGTCCATTCAGCTTTTGATAGCCGTCCTCGATTTTTTTAATAGTGCAGCTGTCGACACTACTGCCAAAGCCAAACCAAGAATTGACCTTAACGAGGTTGAATTACGCTGTTCAACAATCGCGATCTCGAAACCACCGAATGTTTTATGGAAGATCATTCTGCAGAGCAAATGGTAAGCCTCCCGATAGAGTCGGTTCACCACAACTGGGCAGTAGTCAGACAAACTTGGGCGAGTCTTAGCAATCTATCGCTAGGTCGTGCAAGAACCTATCGCGCGGAAAAGAAGACGCACAACAGGACGATGGGGTGCAGAGGTGGGCAAACGCGTGCTGGCGATATAGAATCGTGTAGTGGTAAGATGCTATTTAACCTGAACGCTTAGTCCGCTTACACGTATGGCCCCCCCCTCGCCTGCGACTTGTCCTCCCCCTTGCCGCGTCTGGCGAATTCCTCGCCCGCGCGTGCCTCTTGGCGAGGATCCTCACCCTAATCTAGGAACCAATGGTGAGACTTAAGTTTTACTCGCAATTCAGTATGCTTATTAACATGATATACATTTTCTAGGTCCGCGTCATGTGCGATGACACACCTCCTCCCTACGAATCGTCGAGAATTCTAAAATGTCAAAAAAAAATGAAACAGTCAGGGCACTGAGAAGCATTTTTCTCTAAGCAGCGGGTTTGTTGAGAACCTATTAAAAAGTTAAATGAAATGGCTCCTTCACTTCAGCTTATATTCTTATAAAACCTAGAAATCTACACCTTTTCTTGAAATAGCCCCGCTAGGGAAAACAAATAATTATCAAAAACAATTTTTCCTTCCCTACAGTCGGGTGGTTCAGCGTATAACCCAAAATGAACTTCAACACAAGAACTCCGATCAAGGGGAAATGAGTGGCCACACAAATAAATGCACAAAAGAATACGTGAAAAATCTGACTTAAGGGTTGCCTAGTTGCAAATAGGCCTAAATAGTCTCAAGAAAACTGACTAGCGAGAGTTAAAGAGAGACAAGTAAAACATACCTGGGTGTGAAGGTTAAAGAGCAGTAGCCCTCACCAAGTATGCAAGCAAATAAATCCAACCAACTTTATGTTTTGGACTTCAAAAAACGTAAGACATTCGGTCGGGTTCCTCAGAGTGAAATGAACCCAGAATTTCCACCTGCAACACAATTTTGGAGATTCCAAATAATCTTTTGACACGATTAGACGCTACCCCAAAAATCGCAATTGCTCCATATGAACATTCGAAACAATGAATATGAAAGAAATAGAAACATAAACAGTCATCATTCAGCCATCTACACTCAAGCGCCAAAATTGCGGATTGGAAAAAACCTTCAACAGGGTCAACCGTTACGTTGGACCGATATTGGAGCGACGTTGGACCGATGTTCACCGCTCTCCGCGCCGGCATTCACTCTCGCCACCCGCGAGCCGTCTGTGTCTCCGTGCGTACGTTCACTCTCGGCATTACTCTCGTCGTCGCGTTGGACTTTGTCCAACGGACGGTTGACCCTGCTCAGTATAAAATCCGCGATTCGCACAGTCCCTGACAATCGGCCTAAAGATAACACCCCTCCGCATTGCGCCAACTCAAACACACCTGTGCCACAGCTTCATACACATTGAAAACGGAAATAGAAATATTCTTATGTCATCACAAAGCCCCATTAACTTTTGGGGCCTCTCGACTTACATGTAGGCCCTTCTCTGGCCACATTTAGAGAAAATCTACCAAAAAGTGACACAAAATAAAGTCGTGTCGAGAATCGGAATCAGGCACTCGTGAATAGAACCAGTATTCGCACCTAATAATAAAATTTTAGCCGAGCAGCCTTTTTTGTCTTTTAAAGGTTTATGGACACATTGAAGTGGTACGCGTCAGCGCGTCATCTGTCGTCACACCGTGTTAAAAAGCTTACGAGGAAAGGTCACCAGGCCGGTCCGGCCATTTGCAATGAGGTGTATACCTACGCATTCGTCTTGAGACGATAAGCTAGAAACCGCTTTTCTTATCTGCTAAACGGTGCTCTGAACGGAGTTACGGAAGTTTTCCCCTCAACACTGTACTTAAACGCAGTATATGAGCGCTATCCATGAGTCGCACTATAAGCCCAAGCGGCGAACCAACTATCTGTTACGGCGTAAGTGTAAACGCCTGTCAAGTCTTGTAAAAGCGAGTGATCATTGGGCATCGGTCCTGGTGTTCTGTTTTGCCTTTTTGAAAACATGACCAGAAAGGCTTTTAGCGACAGTATCTCCTCAATTCCTGCCTTTACCTGCCTGTGTAAGGAGTTAGGGAGCACCTCTGCGCAGGTTGAAAGCTATTTTTAATTAATATTTGCCATGACTGAAAACGACGCTCATAGCCCACTGATAAGGTGTTTTTGCGGTAAACGAGTATGATATTCGTGTTCAGGAGACCGAATTTTCCCTGGTTACAAGTTTCCAGCTGAATCTGAGATTTTGACCTACACTCGAGAAAGGGCAGTCAACATACAGTCAAACGAGAGAAGGTATGAATCCAAAACTACTGGAAAAGCACCTTCCCTGAATTTTGATGCAGAGCAGGTAAATCATTTCTCCCGTTATCGAAGTACCGTGAACCGTTTCTCTTTCAAAATCTTGTTGAAGAGCAATCCCATGCAAAGATTCAAGACACGCTGATGAAGATATTTGCACACCTCATTTTTCAGGTTGGTCAAAATCTCAGATTCGGTAGGAAATATCGCCAAGGGTAGTTTGATCTCCTGAACACGAATATCACGCCTATTTGCCGCGAAAAACCCGACACTTGCATTACGGGCACCATGTTCATACATGAGCGACTACTGCACAACAGACAGCTATTTTCGTACAGGGAACTAACGGCAAAGTTGAAATTAAGAAGTTAGAAGCTTTCTGGCTACATCTTCACGAAGCACAAAAGAAACAGACTCTCCGAGGAGCCGTTCCCACGACCTCTTGCTCGCGAGTTCGGGGCACTGCCACTGCGCTTCCTTGCTTTATAACTACGTTCAGAGAATCGTTTAGCAGATAAGGAAGGCAGTTCTGAGCTCAGCGCCTCGAGGCGACTTCAACGGTATACGACTCATTGCAAATGGCCGGACCGGCCTGATGACCTTCCCTCGTCAGTTCACGATACGAACTCTCTATTTCAACTTTGCGTGATTTTAATGCGGTGTGTGCTGCAGTAAATCGAAAACTCAACATTAAGGAGAACAAAGGTAAGCGAAGAAACTGCAGGCACTAATTTCAGATGACTGTCACGAAAACAAGCTGATGGCAACGGCAATTCTTTCAACGAGAACTCTTCAATAAATATAACCCGTAAGATTCTAAGAGCAATAATTAGACCACATTCTGAAAGGAAGCTAGCTATAAGATTCCAAGAAACGGGGTGAGTGTCATGAGGAAAAAACTCGATAGAATAATACTTTGATTGTAGGCGCGGTTCAAGAGACCTGTAAAAACACGTTTGCAAAAAATTAACACGTTGACGACCGCGCTATTTTTCGCTGTCTGGCGTGTGGGACCGCGCGCATTATTTTGACCGCGCGAGTGTGACATGGCATCATGTCACACGGTCCCACGAGAACTCCTTTTTCTCAGGAAGTGTGTATTTGTTATCTTTCTTGTGTGGTAGGTCTCCGATTATGCGATTTTGGCCATTTTAGCGATTCCTGTGATTTGATCATTATTCAAACATTTTTAGAAAAACTCGATAGCCCATCAACCGAAGCTTCTTTCCAGGGACCACGCCTTTTGTAACAATGCCTAAGTATGGCGCATACATCACGTAAATAAGTTACCTAAAATGTTTGAAAACCAGCTTAAAAAAGACTGTGACATGACATCATGTCACACGGTCCCACGTGGCCGAAAGAGTGTGGTATGACATCATACCACACGGTCGTCAACGTGTTAACAGAACAAATTGTGTGCGTGTTGGTCCTATGCAGAAGTCATGTAGCAGTTCCACCATTGAGGAAACGTCCGCAACACTCTGCATCTCAGCCCGGGACGTATCCCATGGTCAGGAATAGGGTATGCGTCTAGAGAAGCAGCAAGATGAGGACTAAGGAAGGTGTCAGACCCTGTGATCCGTGCGTTTGCGCTGGCAAATCGTGTGCGCAGTCACGCAGAGCCTGACACCCTCCTAAAACGCTGGAAATAAACTCAACAGGCTTTAATGATTGCGATCCGCATTGTTTAGGTAAGTGGCGCAGCGACGTACAACGCATAGTCTCCGCCATTTTTGACACACCCAATGGTGGTGCTAACTTAGTTGGGGGGACTTAGCACGGCGCGGTGCTTTGTTCGTCTGTTCCTCCAAAGGCTTAGTCTCGATGGCGCGCATTTCGAAACTGCCCCGTGATGGCAAAATAATATTATAGTAACTGCTCCTGGCCGAGGAGCAAGACGAAGAGCGCCGCGCCGCCGCGTGGTCCCCCCCCCCAACTAAGTTAGCACCCCATTGGGTGTGTCAAAAATGGCGGAGACT